TTCTTATTAAGTTGTGACAGAAGAGAATGAGGCAGAAGAGAATTTAATTTTTTTTTTGTTAAATATGATTACACTGGTTATAAGCCCTATAAGCCCTATTAATATTACAGGTACTACAATGTAAACCCAGAGCAATGATTTCCTGTCTGCTTCAGTATCTTCTTTATTTTCTTGATCAGTGGTTTTGTTTCCTGCTGTTGATTCTGCAAGAAAACAGTAAAGAAAAACAACAACAACACAAACAACAGATCAGTCTATAATTGATATAGAGCAGAAGTGAATTTTTGAAAATGAAAAACTTCATATATTCATAATCCAGTTTTACACACCATTGATGATCAGCTGTACAGTCTGACGTTCAGATGAGGGTGTGATGAGGCAGGTGTATTTCCCTGCATCAGTGTGTTCAAGATTTTTGAGTTTGATGGAGACGTTTCCTGTCAGATACTCATCAGGGAAAGTTTCAACTCTGTTCTTGTACCGTTGGTCCTGAAACTCTTGTGAATAATGACCCATGACTATATCACACACAATCCTTCTGTCTTTGTCTCTCCAGTGCACATTAATGTCTTGAAGTTTAAGATCATTTTCAGTTGATGAACATAGCAGAACAACAGAACCACCAATAAAACCCTCTACTGTGACCTGCAGGGAGACTGAAATCACACAAACTGTAAACACACACACAGACATTCATACATGTGTCATATTTGTTGGTTTATTTGTTTTAATGCAATGACAGATTCTTTGGCTATTTTACAAGGTGAAAACCATACTTTAGTTATTAAAATGTATAATACAAACTAAAGATTTTTCAAAAAATTCTAAACCTAAATTTGTATAAAAATTCACTAAAAAACTTTTCAAGAGAATAAATAGGATAAAAACAGTTTCTAGGAGAAGTTGAAATATTACAATCCGGTAAAAGTTTGACATGAATATTAAATGTGTTGTTCAGATGCTCACCTTTGTTTATCAGCAGTGTAAACACACCGATGAAGTAGATACTGCAGAAACAGAACAAATCATTTCTTTAAATTTCCTGTAGCTCAACCACATAACACTAGCAATAGGCTCGTTTGAGATGATCACATGATCACCACGAGGTTGGGGCAGCTTTTATAGGGAGCTGCTGTTTACTAGCTGCAAAAACTAAAAGCATGATGGGAAATGCTGATGATACAACTTAA